CAGCAGCTTTAGTTTTATGTCCATATGTTGCAAATTTAAACACACACACACACACACATGGAAATGCATTGGCAGCATAGCAAAAGCATGGACACAAGAACACAGTTGCACTTACAAAATCCACTTGCCATCACATACAGTGAACCCATACATATATCCTGCATAGCTGCATGTCCTTCACTACATGTGCGCTTGCTCAGCCACTCTTTTTCGTTTAACACTAACAAATTCTCCATACATGCACATTCGGCAGTCACCCGCCCACACATATGTATATATGCATACAAACACACACACACATATGCAAGCAAACAGACATTAACATTACAAACGAATAATGGCCGACAGATTTTAAAGTTCACTGCAGGAAACCAAAAAGGAAAATTCAATTATTTCACGTTAAATTGCAACTTAAAAGCGAAATGAGTTAATTGCACAAAAGTGTTTACTATGTTGGCTTGCACGGCTGGCTATGTGTGTCCGGTTGGTTTGTCGGTTTGTTGGTTCGTTGGTTCGTTGGTTCGTTGGCTGGCTGATTGCTTTAAGGGATTCCAGTAATTTTAAATACATATCTATGTACACATGAATGGGCTTATCTCTGGCATATTTTCGTAATGCTGTTATTTGGTTTTTCTGTTGTAATCTTCGCTTGGTATGCAGCGCTACATATTTTGTGCAACTGCAATTCAATTCGCTCTGATTTGTGGGTTTCGTTGTGCGCTTTTCTTTCTTACAATTTCTCACAAAATTTTTTTTGCTCGTACTAAGCGATTTATTTGTTTGAAAATTTTCTAGGGATTAAAAAATAAAATACATAATTCACAAATTCTTCCAAAAATTTAATTGTGTGGAATAAATTAGAGAGTGTATCTAGCTAAATTAGTTAGTTGAATGGCTGGATGAGAGACAGGCAGCATACGCAATACGACTTACATAGCTTAAAAAACTGGCGTATCCCCAGGCAATGCCAGCGTCAACAGACGCTGCGGCAAATGCCCGGTTTTCTTCTGTAAAGCAAAGCAAACAGAAATTGAAAGTGCGACCAAACGTTTATGAAACAACAAGGCTGCAGGTCCCCGTGATATCCGAAATATTGCCATTAAAGCGGCAGAGGATGCATCCCATCAGCATTTTCAAAAGTATTTAGTTGATGCCCTCTAGAATGTATATTCCTGAGTAAATGGAAAAGGCACACGCTTGTCCTATTCCCAAAGATTGGCATACCACCGGGGGAGTCAGGTCTTATAGACCCCTGTGTATGATTATGTATAAGTTATTAGTGCATATGCTTATAGTACTGCTACAGGTATGAAAGAATATTCAGAGAATCGTTACCAGAGATACTTCTCAATGTTCCGTCCTCGGCCTGTTTCTGTGCATCATTGCCTACAATGGAGTTTTAGGTCTGTCTCTTCCAAATGGTGCTCAAATAATTGGCCATGCTAATTTGGTCGACGAATGGCTGAAGCGTTCCAACAACAGTCTGATCTACCCTGACCCAGATTTATATCTGCCCTGGGACTGTCACTCCAACATCGCTCCCCAAAGAGTTTGTATGCTGCTGTAACATCAACAATGAATGGCCTAAGGATAAAGGTTTGCAGCTAACTATTCAGAAAACAGAAGGTGTACTTATAACAAGTAGGAAGAACTAAGAAAGGACGACTTTGAATATAATTGGGTATGTAGGCATTTGAGACAGTGAAACGGTTAGTAAAAAAAGCGGATACAGTTCATAGTGCGTTAGCTAGATTAATGGCAAACGTAGGGGGTGCTAGCCAGAAACTGGATTTTCCGGCTTAGTGCCCTACGTATGTATATTTAATGCTTTCCGCACAGTTTGGTATGATGCTGGCTATGTGATTGCTGGTATAATACCTTCTGATGTAATTACTACCGAAATCCAGCGCACCTACTTATTTTACCTCGCGATCCAAAAGCAGAGCCCTCTCTAAACATGAGATCGCGGCCGAGCGCCAAAATGCGCCTAACCCAATGGCGCTGAACTTTCGGACGCATTCCGAGTATAGAAGCCTGGCCAAACAGAAAACATGGCAGAGTATATTTTTATATGACATGAGTTAAGCATGAAGAATTTTCATATTGTGCAAATGGGGTATGGGCGTTCTGCATGACTATACGCAAACACGACTTGCGCCCCCGTTCGAACACTCTGACTAAGTACATGAACAACCCAGACCGGCATGCGATAGCCAATCCGTGCCTTGGCTGACAGCAGAAAACTCCCTTACTTTAATGCAGCCAACCTCGACATGTTCTGTTTCAGGGTCCACTGGAATCTGCAGCGGCTGCAAGCGGGCGTTTGTCTTGGAGCAAGTAACTTTCTAGAATTGTTGTGCTGAGCCACGGTTTGATTCGACTAAAAGAAGAGGAAGGCCTTTCAGCGCTCGTTCCCACGACAGTCGGGTCTACGAAACCGGAACGACCCAGATTTATATCTGGCCAAGGACTGTCACTCCAGCAACACTCCCCAAAAACCCTTTGGGGAACTTGTATGCTGCTACAACAACAAAAACAACCTTTCAGCGCTACCATTCGTGGCTGGGAAAGTGCAAAATGTACGAAATAGAGTAGAGCTAGTCGGATAAAAGTACATACATATATCTCTGGCACAATGTGTGAGTGTCTCGATGGCATCTGAGCACCGGATTCAATTTTCAACCTACATTACAGCTGTCAAAGCCTTAATTTGTATGGGGCACGTACAAAATAAAGACATCCACGAAAATTTCAAAATTTTAAACTAATTTTTAGGAGTCGCTACCAGGATTTAAAAAAAAATTCTTTTTAGAAATCACAAAAATTCGACAAAATTTTGAAATCTTGAAAACTTGAAATCTGATAAATTTGACATTTGATTGAAACTTATTTATTCATATAAATTAATAAATTTGGTTATTCAGAGCTGGTCAAAGTCAAGTTTTGTCGAGGTTTTGGCATTAAAAAAATAATAATTCAAACCCTAATAGCGACCCCAAAACCTTTTTTTCTATTTTGAAGTTTTTGTAGGATGACAGGCCGCTGCAGAGAAAAAAGCGCCAAAATGCAATCGGAAGCAACGCCAGCTTTGTGGGATCGCTGTAGGGAGCTGAAGAACGAAATGAAACGTATGTATTTTCCGTAATAAAAAGAGTATGGCCGAAATACGCGAGTGCGAAGAGCTTGAGATGTTGGCGGACAGAAAAGATTCACGAAAATTCTATCAGGGCAAATTCCTATAAGAACAGACACGGTGGCATTTTAACCAATATCTAAAGCGCGTGAAAATTATGCAGAAAATACTTTTTCACACTGTTGAATCCAGTAGAGAGGTGAACCCGAGCACCAATGAAAGACGGCAGCTTCGAAGTCCTAATACCCAACTGTTACGAGGTATGCGTTGCAATTTTGCAGCTGAAAAACAACAAAGCTGCAAGAGCTGACAGCCTGCCAGCTAAGATATTCGAATACGATATCGAGGAGTTTATAAGGTGAAGGCGTCAACAGTTATGTAGAATATGGTCGGATGAATGCCTTGCGTATGCTCTTCCCAATCCACAACAGAAGGCTATAAAATGTTAGCGAGACGTGAAAAGTTTAAGTCTCCGTCAAATAAACTGAATGCGCCTATCAGTGTACCTTTTATAACAGGATATTCCGGCACAAACCAGGTATTAGCTATATATCAAATATTGGGAAAAAGCCTCGAAAGGAGGCTCGCTTCTAAAGTCACCTTCGTTAGCACTACTTAATAGCTGAATTTG